TTAAATTTATGTAGAAAGCCAAACTCAGTATTATTTTACGTTTTTTTTTATAACGAGATACCTGACTGTATGTTTTCCACTTTACACCACACTTGTTTTTTTTAACTTGTCATTAGAAAGAGTATCCAAATTTGTAAAGTTAAGTTTACCTTGAATGGCCCTTTGCCGTCACCGGGATCGACTGTGTAAACACCACTTTTCTTGCCACCTCTTCTAAGAACTTCAGCACAGTTTTTSGGCACTGRAAACAAAACGAATTGTGCTMATTTCTAGYGTTGTGTTTGTATAGCAATTTGATTCTACGAAAAACGTCAATAACAGGAATAGCAATGTCATATGATTGCTTTAAYGATTGTTAACAATACCTCCTTTCATACTAGAACCAGTTTTGTTTAACGATGCTCCCAGTTTTTCCATGATGACATTTAATTTCTCTTCGATGGTTTTCAGTGCACCAGAAAACTGCTTGGAAGAAGCCGCACCTCCAAAATAATTATTTTGATATACATCGTCATTCGTTTTGGTTTTGGTGACTTGTTTTCCTTCACTGACAAAAAACAAGCTGATGAAAAACGGCACAAATCTCAACACTTTCATTTTGAGAGCTTTTTCTCTTCGACACTCGCGTTCAGTCAACAGGACAACAGGTTGTGGGTAAAACTTACTGAATCATGCAGTGTAATACAGATAGCTAAATCTCAAACACGAATTTTGGACATGTTTTTGAATGAATTTTTCTGTTAGCCAATCTTAAGCCTTTTTAATTCGTTGGTTTAAATGTATTATTGTTAGTTAAATCAATTCGATACTTATTTTCCTCCTTCCTACATAGTATGGTAAAATCTAAACTTGAGAATATATTAGAAACGCCTTATTTGGGAAGTGATCAAAAAGTTGGATCGCTGGATCTTGACCAAAACTATATTTTGAAATCACTGATAATTTTCTCTATTTTTGCAAAGCATTACCTAAGGGCAATCACTAGAGTAAAGGATATCGACAGTAGATGAAATATTGGCATTCATTGCTCTCTTATGAAAGTTAAGAAGTGATTTTCTAGACCCAAATGGTTCTTTCTTCGTCTGGGAAAAGAAGCTGGGTTTCTCTTAAACTTTCGATGATAACTTTTGGGATACTTCACTTCTTCGTGATCAAAATCACAGTTACATGTATTCACGAAGCAATGCATTCTAGATGACATAGGCACGTTTTTCACGACATACTTGTCAACCCTTTTCGTATTTTCCTGCTTTTGTGCAAAAGACTGGAACTCTACTTAGTTCTCGATCACGCGAAATTTCTCGAAGGTTGTGCTCAACCTGAGTAAGGCATTTAACATAAACGAGACCTGCTTTCCTTTGATAAATATCTTTATTGGGATGAACAAATACAGATAATTGTACAGCTTTTTCGAATATATCGCAGTTATGCTGTAGAGAATTTGCCAAAGTCTTTGTTCACACATTTATGAAATGTTGTACAACCATAACCATGTGCACCCAGCAACGATCAACACACTCGTTAATGATAGCTGAACGAACGATAAACTGCTGAAGAAACTGTTCAAAATTGCAAACAAAATAATAAACAAAAAACCTATCCTCACTGTTATTGATGTAATTAAGTCCAAGAATTCTTGATTCTGGAAACGCATTTGTTATCTAAAGAGATTCCAATATGGCGTCCATGTTGCTTGGGATATTATCTCTGTTGTCTCTCGTCAGACCGCAGACCGCCGAGCAGCGCAGGCTTACACATTTTCGACAACGTCGATAGATAGATAGACTTATAGAAAACCGAAACCTAGACTCGGGCTTTCCACAGGTAGCCCGAGTAATTATCATGTAGGCCGTATAATAATAACACATTAATAATAAGGTCACAGAAATAGATCGGTAAATAACAAAATTATATACAAGATCTCTAATAAGGATAAAATATTTCTACAACCCTTTAGGTTTGTTTTTCAAACTACTAATGGTTTTAGCAGATTTAACATTGCGAGGTAAAAAGAGTTCCAGGCTTGCACCATAATAGTCTCCTATAGATACCTCATGATTTTGAATGAGTTTGATTCTAAAATAGATTCTTTTGTTAGGACTTGAAAGCGAAAAAAAAACGGAACACGAAGTTTTAACATGTTTTTTATAAACTCCAGCCTACAGATCACCGCACTGTGTGGTGGTCCCTGCTGTGACGGATCTATATTGATGAAACATCTCATGGTTTGCTTCACAAACAATACGATGGATCTCATTATCACAATAAATCAGTAGTAGAAAAAAAAATTGGACGCAAAATTGTTCATCAAATATCATGTATTTATAAACTTACATTCATTCCCATCTAAAGATTTCTGTGTGCACAAGTCACGTTTACTAGTTTGTTCTCAATATCAAGCGCGGGACAAAGTAGGTATAAAAAGAAAAAAGCCAGCATTTGAGTCCAAAACGTGGGTCACGGTTGTTTCTATGGAAATCCTTGAGATTGTCTGACCGCAATTACAACAGCTATACAATGACGATTGAATAGGTAGGAAGTCATTTTGAGGAGTACGGATTATTTTCTTAAGAAATGGAAACAATAAAGAAATTAAAAAGAAAAGGAAACGAACATTGGATATTTATTCAACCTTTATATGAAAATATAAATAAAAATGTTCATTCGAATCTAATTGTTAACATGTTACTTTTTCTTTTCGACTATTAATGACCTTTTGAGGGGGGGGGGGGGGGGGGTTGTTCGTGCTACCCGTATTTCCCTCCCCCCCCCCAACAAAAACAATTATATTTACTATATTTAGTGAAAAGTATTCTATTTCTAACTAAACGATACACTAGCTGTCAATTTATACTCAATAAAAAAAGCCGGTTGAATCCGAATTACAAAGGTATTTTTCTTTGTTTGAAATTAGACTCGCGTTTAGCTAAGTAAAGACGATTCTCTAATAACTTGAAATATTTATTTGTGCGTTATCATCACCCACATGAATTACTTAGCAAACACCCTTTTCACATTGAAATATCCATATATATCGTCTGTAGCTCTGTCTCTGTAACCGGCCCTGTCTTTTGGTATAGTAGCTCTCGTCCACACAACGCGTTTTCAAATCGCTTTCGTCCGTTCATACGTATCCGTTTTCGAAAAGTTCAGTTTYAAATGGAGTCTTCATCGGATACGTGTGGATGAAGGACACAATCTGCAAAGAAAACAATCCGCCGTTTTCAAAAATATCCGACTTCTTGTGGCCGACGGCGCGGGGCATAAAACTACTGCATTACTCCTGCACGACCAAAGTACGCGTAGAGATTTGTACCTGAAGTTACTATTCTCCTCTCCTCTCTTCCTTTCCCCCGGCCCCCCCCCCCCCTTCCCTAGTCTATCATTTTTCTTTGTGACAGCTTGTGTTTAAAATGAAATCGATTTTAATAATAGGAAAAGCTTAGTCAATAGCTTTATGGACTTACACACCACATATGTTAATCGTTAACTAACCATATTGACACAAACCATGGGCCAGGCTGGAAAAAAAATCCGAAAAATTTCTTTTAAAAATATGCTCAGAATTCAAAAATTTCATCTTTCCCTTGAAACCTCTAGAAAAAATCTAGTTTTGAGTACTGAATTGTTTGCGTCCGCTTATTTGTGATTTAAAGTTGAATTGCATGGTAGCACGCTGATAAAACCTCATGGAGCCACCTTAATTAGGTAGAAGGGTGCCTAGTTCAGAAAGCTGGGCCAGACTATTTAAAACCATTTTGTTTTATTTGTATTCGTCTCCCCACCTTTCCCTATTCTTCTCTAGACCTTTCGTGACTTTTTTTTTGTGGAATATGAAATCAATATGTCGACCATCGGCAACACCATGGGATACTATTCGATCATTGGACTTAGGAGTACGTTGAATTTGGTATAAAGATGCCATTTCAGCAACCTGGGCAAAGACAGTATTTATCCTAATAGCGATAAAAACTATTGGAGACTCTTCGTTAAGTCACTCAACCAATCAATCAAACAACATTAATCTTGATTTGAATACGGTAGCTACACTCATACTATGTTACAAAATTATCAGGTAGGCCGTATAATAATAACACATAAAGAATAAGGTCACAGAAATAGATTGGTAAATAACAAAATTATATACAAGATCTCTAATAAGGATAAAATATTTCTACAACCCTTTAGGTTTGTTTTTAAAACTACCAATGGCTTTAGAAGATTTAACATC